AAAATTAATTTATGGGATTGAAGAAAACATTTGCAAACTATGTATCTCATGAAAGGTTAATGACCAAAATATGTAAGGAAGTCATATAACCTCAACCTTAATAGCAGAAAACAAAGCAAAACAAAAAATAATTTAAAAATGGGCAAAAGACCTGAATGTTTATTTTTTCAAAGGCAAAATGCAAATGACAAACAGGTACATGGAAACATTGTTAATCAACAGGGAAATGCAAATCAAAATCACAATGAGATATCACTTCGTGCCTGTTAGGATTGCTATTTTCAAAAAGTAAAAGATAATAAGTCTTGGTGAGTATTTGGAGGAAAGGGAACTCCTATACACTGTTGGTGAGATTACAAATTTGAACAGCTATTATGGAAAGCAGTTTAGAAGTTCCTCAAAAAACTAAAAATAGAATTACTGTATGACCCGTCAATCCCACTTTTTGATATGTACCCAAAGAAAATAAAATCAGTATTTCAAAGAGATATCTGCACTCCCATTTTCATTGAATGTTATTCAACAAAGGCAAGATATGGAAACATCATAAGTGTCCTTTGACAGATGAATGGATAAAGAAAAGGTGATTTATATATTGATTATGTATATATACAATGAAATATTATTCAATGTTTAAAACCAGAAGGAAGTCTAATCATTTTTAACAACATGGATGAACCTAGAGAACATTATGCTAAGTGAAATAAGCTAGACCCGGAGAGACATATACTGAATTATCTCATTTACGTCTAGAATCTAAGCAAGTTGAACTCATAGAAACTGAGAGTAAAACAGTGGTTGCTGGTACTTAGGCGAAGGGAGAGAATGGGGGATTTTGGTCAAAGGGTAGTAACTTTCAGTTATAAAATGAATAAGTTCTGGAGATATACTATACAGCATGGTGACCATAGTTAACAATAAAGTATTATATGCTCGAAATATGCTAAGAGTAGGTCTTAAGCGTTCTCATCACCAAAACCAAAAAGCAGCAATAACAACAACAACAAAAAAACAGGTAACTATGACTATGTGAGGTGATAAATATGTTAATTAGTGTGATTGTGGTAATCACTTCATAATATTTATATGTAACAAAATATGTTTACAACTTAAATTTATACAATTTTTATTTGTCAATTTTACCTTAATAAAGCTGGAGGGGGAAAACATCAGACCTAAATAAAAGTTAGGGAGAAGGCATTTCAGATAGGGGGAGTGGCTCAAGCAAAAGAGCCAAGGCAGGAGAGAGTATGGCACATTTACAAGCAGGAAATCTATAGCTGGCATAGTGGGAATACGCAGGTGAGCAATGGTAAATGAATTTGTAGGAGTGAAAATATTAGACTAAGAACTTTGAACTATTTTCTCTAGACAACAAGAAGCTATAGAAGATTTTTAAAGGGGAAGAAACTTGTGGTATTTAAGGAAAATTAATGTGTCAATAGTATAATATGTAAATACATAAGCTACAGTAAACTTCGGGAGAAAAGATAATGTATCTGTCTTATCCATCATTGTCTCCAAAGCATCTAACTCAGTGCTTGGCATAAGATCCAGTTCAAAAGAGATAATTTGTGAAACAATAAATGAAAGAAGTATTGGCAAAGTTCAGTCAGAAGACTGATTGCACAAAACACCCGGTGTTATGAGCTGAGGCTAGGGTAGTAACGGAAAGGAGTGGCTACATGTGGGAGACTTCACATCGGAAAATCTATTGTGTATAGTGACTAATCACATATCCAGGGAGAGGGAGAAAGTGAAGTCCAGCAAGACATGAGTGCTTGGGAGAGAAAGGTCCAGAAGCAGAGTTGTTTAGATAAAATGATAATGAATTTGGCATTATTCGTACATTTATTCAGCTAATCATTTATTTATTTTATTCACTCAAATGACAGCATTTTAGGCAGAGAGAAAACATAAATAAAGGAAGTAAAGCCAAAGAACTTGGTTACTTCAAGGCATTAAAAATATGAGTGAAGTGGAGCTTGGTGTGCAAGTAGGAGAGTGTTGTTGCTTGAGATTGTAGAGTATGTAGGTGCTCAGCTGAAGGGAGTGGGAAACAGAGGCCTAGAACTCTGGTGAGACATTAGATTGGGAGATACTTTATTACTAGTAGAGATTCTAGACAACTTTTCAGTGGCCTTCAGAGATTGCTTGGCTCTGTGCAAAATCTGGTGAAATGCTTTTTAGATACCCATGGCAAAAGTTAATTTAACATGTTGTTCCAGGACAGTGAAGCAGAGACTGCTGTGTGAGTGGCAGTTTGATAATCCCTCCCTATGGTGACTTGGTCATAGGTCTTAAACACCATAATCTTATATTTTTGTATTAAAATATTAAAACCAACCATCTTTTATACATAGGGGAGGCCATATGGCATTATGGTTGTAAATTCTAAAGTCAGACTGCCTGGGCTTAAATCCTAGCCCTGCTACTTCCGACCTGTGTGATCTTGGGAAAGTTTCTTAACTTCCCTGTGCCTCATACTCTTCATTTTGAAAATGATGGTAATAATAGTGCCTCCTTAATGGGTTTCTGTGGAGTATTGGATGAAATGGTTCATGTCAAGTGTTAAGAACAGGGTCTGGTACATAAAAATGTTTAATTAATGTTAGTACTGTTATCATTAGTGAAACCACTTACAAAATATAAGTTGGAGTATTTTTAATAAATAACCCAATTTTCAAATGATCAAGGAAACTGAATAAGCAGTTCTCAAAAGAAGGTATACAAATGGCCAACAGATATATGAAAAACAGTCAATATTGCTAATCAGTAGGGAAATGCAAATTAAATCCGCAATGAAATATCACTTAACACCTGTCAGAATGGCTATTATCAAAAAGATGAAAGATGTTGGTGGGGATGTAGAGAAAAGAGAATCCTTGTAAAATGTTGGTAGAAATGTAAATTTGTCCAACCGTTATGGAAAACTATATGGAGCTTCCTTAAAAAAATAAAAATAGAATTACCGTATGATCTGGCAATTTCACTTCTGGGCATTTACCCAAGAAATTTGAAATCATCTTGTACTCCCATGTTCATTGTAGCACCATATGCAATTGCCAAGTTATGAATCAACCTATGTATCCATCAATAGACAAATGGAGAAAGAAAATGTGGAATTGAATACTACTCAGCCTTTAAAAACTGGGTGCGGTAGTTTACATCTATAATCCCAATATTTTGAGAGGTCAAGGTGGGAGGATCTCTTGAGGCCAGGAGTTTGAGATCAGCCTTGGCAACATAGCAAGGCACCATCTCTACAAAAACTTTTCCTAAAAATTAGCCAGACATGGTGGGCACACCTGTAGTCCCAGCTAGTTGGGAGGCTGAGGTAGAAGGCCCCCTTGAGCCCAGGAGTTTGAGGCTGCAGTGAGCTGTGATTATACCACCCCAGCCTGGGTGACAGAGCAAGACCTGTCTCAAAAAAACAAAAAACAGGCAGGGAGTGTTGGCTCACACTTCGTATTCCAGCACTTTGGGAGACTGAGGCAGGCTGATCACTTGAGGGCAGGAGATTGAGATCAGCCTGGCTAACATGGCGAAACCTCATCTCTACTAAAAATAGAAACATTAGCCTGGCATGGTGGCACACACTTGTAATTCCAGCACTTTGGGAAACCGAGGTGGGTGGATCACTTGAGGCCAGGAGTTTGAGACCAGCTTGGCCAACATGGCGAAACCCTGTCTCTACTAAAAATACAAAAATTAGCCTGGTGTGCCATTGCTTGGACTCAGGAGGCAGAAGTTGCAGTAACCCAAGATCGTGCCACTGCATTCGAGCCTGGGTGACAGAGTGAGGATCCATCTCAAAGAAAAAAAAAAAGAAAAACACAAAAAACATGAAATTATTTCATTTGCAACAACATAGATGGAATTGGAGAACATGCTAAGTAAAATGAGCCAGGCACAGAAAGACAGTTACGTCATATTCTCACATGTGGATTCTAAAACAATCAAATTCATAGAGCAGAGGTTAGAATGGTGGTTACAGAGGCTGGGGGCAGGGGAAATGGAGAGATGATGTCAAAGGGCATGAAGTCTCTGTTAGGAGGAATAAGTATTTTTTCATTGAGCTCTATTGCATAGTATGGGGGATATATTTAATAATAGTGTACCACATATTTCAAAATGCCTAAGAGAATAAATTTCAGATGTTCTGACCACGAAAAATGATAAAAGTATTTGATATGAATCAAAGCATTTGAGGTAATGAATATGTTAATTAGCTTGATTTATTTCATATTGTATTCATAAATCATCACTTTGAACTCCATAAATATAGTTATAAATTATCTTTTTAATAAAGTTTTTAAAAAGAAACTTAAAAAGGAAACTAAGACAGATATTCACTCAGCAAAGGTCATAGGTATGAGTAGACTTTGTTAAACTAAGTATCTGCCAGATTTGTCTCCACCTTGGTCCCACCAACAGTCTACGTAAGTTCCAACATTTCTGCCAACACTGCCCATTATACAGCTTCCTAATTTTCTACTAGTCTAACAGGTATAAATAAAAATCTCATCATTTCTTTAATTTTCCATTTTACTGATTATCTTTACTTTTGAATATTTGATGGTATACCTGATAGTTTTTTTGTTTTTTTCTTTGGTTTTGGAAATTGTTCGTTTATAGATTTTGTTGATTTCTCTGTTGGGACTGCTTTCTTTTTCTGACCTGCAGGAATTCCATATATATTCTAGTTGTCATTTCTCATTGGTTTTAGACATTACAAATACCTTTCTCAATTTTTTTTTTTTTTTGAGACACAGCATTGCTTTGTCACCCAGGCTGGAGTGCAATGGTGTGATCTTGGCTCACTGCAACCTCCGCTTTCTGGGATCAAGTGATTCTCCTGCCTTGGTCTCCTGAGTAGCTAGGACTACATGTGCACACTACTATGCCTGGCTAATATTTGTACTTTTTGTAGAGATAGGGTTTTACCATGTGGGTCAGGCTGGCCTCAAACTTCTGACTTCAGGTGACCGCCCACCTTGGACTCCCAAAGTGCTGAGATTACAGGAGTGAGCCACCATGCCCAGCCTTCTTTCTCTATTTTTCAGCTGTCCTTTAGTCTTGTTGATAGTGTCCTTCCTTGAAAAGAAGTCCTTAATTTATTTCTTTGGTTGCCCTTATCCATGTCAAATTATACTAACACCTTTTACTATCTTTGTTGAAATTTACTAAATGATATGAAAATGTCATGTCAGATGACTTGTTCTCCTTTCACTTACCCTTCAGCTGTTGTACATTATTTTTTTCTGAACCCAGTAAACTACAATCTGTGTTTAGTAAAAGTCAGGAAATGGCAGGCCTTATTCAATAACAGAAACACTGCAACTAATCAGGAACATTTGGTATTCCAGCACATTTCCTTGCAATCAGGCTGCTCACATGTGGATTTGATCTCCTGTGGTTGGGCCAGAACTTACAGTACCCTCCCCTTAAGGGCTCCTTAGGGTACCTGCTGAGACACATCAGGACAAGTAGTAAACAGCTCTTTGGACATCAGTACAAGTGACAGCAGGTGTCAATCAGAACAAGCAAGAGCTGGAAAGGAGCTCAGGGATCATCCAGTTCGACCCCCGTTGTACAGATGCAGGTACTGGGGCCAAGGGAAATAAATGAGCTTGTCCAAGTCACACAGCTGTCAGTGAATTGCTAGGACTAGAACCCAGATCTCTTCACTCCCAATTAGTGCGTTTTCAGTTTTTCTGCCTGCCTTAAGAGGATGTCAGAAACCGTTTCTTGAAGGGCTCTTGATCAGATCCAGGACTTAATCCAGAAAGTCAGCATCCTGCAGAATTTGGATCCATTCAACCTCTCCAACCTTACCTTTGGCCATTCTGAGTTAGTTCTTGCCTCATTCCTCTAAAGCTCCATGCTCTACTCTTACCTTTAAGCCTTTGCATATGTTGTGGTCGTGCACGATCATGCCAGGCATCCCCTTCCTTCTTCTCCATGCCTTCAAGTGCTCATCATTGGAGGTACTACCTCCTTCATGCCACTATTAACTAGCATTATTCTCTCCCTTCTTTAGGTTTTCATGGCATCTGTGGTCGACACAAATGCAATTTAGGCTTGATTATATGCTGCCTTTTTTTCTGGAATATTTCTGATGTATGAGTGACTGAGCAAGTCACTTAATGTCTCTGTGCCTCACTCAATTTATTCACTAATAAAAAGGAAGAGTTCATAAATCATTTATAAAGATGCTTCCTGTAACAGTCTATGTCTCCGTAAGATTTTAAACTCCTCAAAGAAAGTGACTCTTTCTTCTATTTCTCTTGGAATTCCCTTAGTCTACTTGTTCTCATCTGGGGACAAAATTGGTACTTAGGGACATTTAACAATGTTTGGAGATATTTTTGGTTGTCATATCTGGGGAGGGAGGTGCTTCTGGAGTCTAGTGAATAGAGGCCAGGGATGATACTAAACATTCTGTAACACACAAGATGGCCCCCTACAAAAAGGGGTTTCCAGCTCAAAATGTCAATAATAGCAAACTTGAGAGATTCTGCCTTAGTCTGTAAGCCAACATTATGGACATATAGTAGACATTGAACAAATACTTGCATCTTTCAGTCAAAGAGAATTATCCTCATAGAAGGGGTGCTGTCAGATATGGAACGGTCATGGGGAAGTGAGAACTCATGCAAAATGAATGCTAAGCCAGAGAAGAGAATCTAATTTTCCTTAGTCAGGAGGGAGAGTAGGGAATACAATAAAGAAGAAAATGTTGGATGGATGAAACTTGAGAGCTGAGAAGTTACTTACTTTGTAGGAGGTGTTGACTTAAATAGCTCACCTTCTAGATACCTCTAGGAGAATAGCTTGTGATTGTGGTAAACAGTGGTAATAACATTGGAATACATGAAGGAAAGTTCTGGGAACTATAATTTATGTTGTCAAGAAGACTTGCGTTTATAAGATTCTTATTCTTACCTTCCTTTGAAATAAAGTCTGGGTGATAAAAAGTGGCTTTAATTTACAGATGAGGCCAGGAAATTGGTTCAATGGGCTCTGAACACTGACCCCCCAAAAAGGCTTTTTTTCCAGTTCACTACTCAGGATTTTTGGGGATAGGGATGATGAATGACTAAATGCTTTCAGTGACTCCTCCCAGCCTCTGCCTTGGTTGTGCTACCAATGTTCTTCCTCAGCATGCCATGTGTGTCTTTCTCCTTTAGTTATAACTTGCAAGAAAACCAATTCATTATTTCTTTGTCCCCCATCCCCTCTCCTCTTCATCATTTAATACATATAATAATAAATATCTTAGGCATAAACAAACAGCCCCCAAAACTTTGGGATTGGAGGGAAAATCCATGACCTACAAATTCTCTTGAGATGGATATCATTATTCTCAACCTCTTGGGACACTTGGCAGGAGATTCAAGTATTAGTTCTCCTTGCTATCAGAGGTATTTGGCGAAGTTTTTGTTTAGATTTCTTTTGGGGAAGACATGCTTAAATTAAACATTGAAATTCATGAGAATATTTCAGTTCCTTGTAAACTTTTCTAATCACACTTCAAGTGAGGTATTATTTGTGGCTTTTCAATGAGGAAAAGTTCTCCTGACAGGGACTTCCAACAGTACATTTCAGCAGATCTCTGAATTGATGGTCAAATGCAGTGTATCATAAAATAGGCTGAAATAGGTATGTAGGCATTACTCATAACCATTTTTAATGGCTTAGATTCTTCTCTGTTGCATAGGATTGTAAATTGGATCATAGAAAAATGAGTTCTTCTCAGCCAGTGATACCTGGATTCCTTTTCAGTTTTTCCAGTAAGAGAAAAGTAAAATAATTGAAGCACATTTTTTTTTTTAAACTTTCCTATAAAGGTTTTCTGGGAAAATATTCTGGGGCAAGGACTGAGTGACCACGGTATAACAAGGGTAGAGATCTATGTATAGTAGAAATTTGATGAATAAGTGTGGCTCATTTGCTGCTGTATGTTTTGGCAGATGAATGTATGACATCTCTTGGTAAAATGGCCCAGAAGAAACACAGGAAGAAGTTATGAAAAGATAACACCCGTAAGTGTAACTGCACATTTTGTGGTCCAGTCATCATTTCTGTAAGTCTGGAATTTTGTTTTTGCACGCTTCTTCAGGGTTGCCTTTTCCACCTTCCATTCTGTTTCCTTAAAAACACCAGATAACAATCTACAAGATACTGAGTGTTAAGAAACTTGAATTACCACTATAAGCCTTCTGTATTGATGGGCCTCTGCTTGGGATTTTCTTTTTCTTCTTCTCCCTTTTGTGATCACTTAAAAATAAAATCCCAAAAGAGTTAGGGCAGCTCTTTGTTTGGTCTCGAGTTTTGCTTTCATAGGTCTTTTATGTCTGCTTGGCTGGGTGCAACTGAGGCTAGTTTTACAAGAAGCTACCAATAAATCTCAGAATAGGAAAAGATGGGTAAACTCTTACTCTGGACATAGAGTTTGCATAAGGGAAGAAAGGGAGATCCTGTTTACATTTTATGAGAATGCATTATTTAGCGAGGCTTTATTTGATAGTTCTCTTGATTTCTTATATGGGAAGATAAGGCTCAGCTACCAGCTACTTGTTATTAGGAAAATGGGTTTGCTCCTTCATTTATTTTTGACCATTTCACTTTAATTCTGTTCTTTTCTTGAATATAGAGGATAAAACCTTTTGCAAATAACTTGAAAAAGCATGTGGTAGGCAGAATTCTAAGAGGGCCCGGGATTCTGGAACCCCTCCATGTGCCTGCACCCTGCACAATAAATATGAGCAGGACTAGTGTAATGGACTTTACTCCTGTAATTAGGTAATGTTATACGGCACAGTTTACTTAAGAAAGGGGGATGACCTGGTGGCCCGATTGAATAACATAAGACCTTTAAAATCAGAGTTTTTTCGCCAGCTGGTGGCTGACAAGGAAGGCAGAAATGTGACACAGGAGAATTTGACATGTTTTTATTGGCCTAAGAATAGAAGATGCCGCGTGGCAAGGAACGTAGATGACCTCTAAATGCTGAAAGAGTTTCCTAGCTGGCAGAGTTCAGTCCTATAATTATAAGGAAATGAAATCTGCCAACAGCCAGAGGGCATGGAAAAGGACCCTAAACCCTGGAAGAGAATGCAGCCCCACCTTGATTTCAGTCAGGGAAGACCCTGAGAAGAGAATCTAGGTATACTATGTCCAGACTTCTGAGCTATGAAAATTATGATATAATAAATTGGTGTTTTAAGTCACTAAGTTTGTCATAAGGGAAAACAAATATGAAGCAGGAGAAAGGTTTTGGGAGAAGAAAGCTATGTAAAAGTAATATTCGTATATTTTGTTCTAAAACAAAGTCATTGTGATGGTCAGTTTTGTGTGGCAACTTGGCTAAGCTATGGTGCCTGGTCATTTGGTCAAACCCTAGTCTAGATATTGCTGTGAAGGTATTTTGTAGATGTGATCAACATCTCCAATCAATTCACTTTAAGCAGGGATGATTACCCTCCATAATGTGGGTGGGCTTCACCAATCAGTGCAGGTTTTAAAAGCCAAAACAGGTTTCCCAGAGAAGACGGAATTCTGGGAGACTGTAACATCAAAATCTTTCTTGAGTTGCCAGCATACCCACCTGCCCTGTGGACTTTGGACTTACCAGCCCCCACAATCACGTGAGCCAATTCCTTAAAAAAAATGTTTTCATGGATAGCCTGTTGGTCCAGTTTTTGTGGAGAACCTGGACTGAAACAGTTATAAACTCAGTTACCCTTGGGGACTACACAAATGGATGATGTGTGTTGGTAGTTGATTTGACACAATGAGGAATAGCACTTGACACAGCTACAACGTGGTGCCCTCTCAAAGGCAGCAGCTCATACACTGGACCACAAATTGTAACCAGTCAGGAATACACGTCAGGCACTGCCAGGTCTTTTGATTTTTTTTTAATTTTATTTTTTAAAGCCAGAAATCCAGAATTTTACAGAAAATTCCCTGAATTCTAAATGTAGGCTATTGATTCAAAAACACACATATTTTTAAAGTATCATGTGTACCACAAGGAAACAATCAGACATGTTCAGAATATGAGCTGTCTCATAAGACACACTGCTCTGGTCTCTTCAATAAGTCAAAGTCATTAAAAAACACCACCACTGCCACCACCACCAACGAAAAACAGACCAGGGCTGGGAGACTGTTGTAGATTAGAAAGATTAAAAGAGACTAAGGTATGAAATGTTAAAGTGAGACTATTGTCTGTAATTTACTTCAGAATTCCTTTCTTTCCTTTACTCTTTCTCTCTCCACAAAAACATACACAGTAAAAATGTTAACAATGATTGAATCTAGATATCAGGTACATATGTGTTTATTGTACTATTTCTTGTATTTTTTGTATGTTTGAAGCATTTTATAAGTAATTTTTTAAGCCACTTAGCAGAGTAGACCACACATATATGCCAGAGGATTCCAGTTTATAGTTGTTTGCAAGCTTTAACACATTCTGTGTGGCCAGACAAGTAAATTTCAGAAAGAACCAAAGAGAAAAGTAGGCTGGACCGGTAGCACACTGCGCACTTGGGCTGGGGAGCAGCTTCTGCAGACTCCACACATAACTGAGCCTGGGACGCCAGGATCGGGCCACCTAGAGGCCTGTGGGACTTCAGCCGCAGGAAGGATGAGCAGGTGATGATGGCAGGAGCAGCAGAGACCTGTTGCCCTTGATTTCTGCACTCTGGGTCAGCCTGACCCAGAGACAGGATGCGGGTGGATGAGCACCTTCGCCTTTACTCAAAGCCTCAGGAACCTGCCCTTCTATTCTCCCGTAATAGCCCTGGGTCCTGTCTGAGCCAGGGATGATAGTATTTGACCTCACTGAGTGTTAAATGCCAGAAAGAAGAGCTCTGTTCTCCACCGGCCTGCCCCCAGAGATCCCCAGCAAGCCACTCACCAGGCAACAGGACACAGACTAATTGTGTTTGCCTCCTACTCAGACAACTGTCCAGGCACATTTTGAAATCATGCATTACATATTTCTCAAGACGTTAAGTGCAGCAAATACATTTAAATGTTTTGCTGTTGGCTGGTTAAGAAAGATTTTTAAAAATTAAAAATGAGGATAGGGATCAGTATCTCCACCAAGCTGTTTACTAGAGTTGGTCTTCACCTTGAAACCTTCATTGCAGAGGCACTGGTATCCTACAGTGACCTTCATTCCCTTACCTTCGGTCTTTTCTATTGCAAATGTGGTCCTTTGGACCCATCAGTTCTTCTCCAGCTCTTTCCCTTTCACACTTTCTCTATGCTGCTAGCCCTGTTCATTCACCTTTCCAGAATACTGTTTCAGAAAGCTCTTCACATAGACAGATGTGAGACCTATATGGAGATCTCCTGGTCAAATGAGTGCAAATATATGCATTTCACAGATGGCTTGGGCTATACTAACATATTAGTATCCTCTTGCCACTGTAACAAATTAGTACAAGTTTAGCAGCATTAACAAAACACAAATGTATTGTCTTATGGTTCTGGAGGTCAGAAGTCCAAAATCAGTTTCACTGGGCTAAAGTCAAGGTGTTGGCAGGGCTGCATTCCCTCTGGAGGTTCCAGGGGAGAATCCATTTCCTTGCTTTCTGGCTTCTAGAGACCACTAGCATTCCTTGGCTTAAAGCCCCTTCCTCCATTTTCTAAGCCAGTAATGTGACACCTTCAAATCTCTCTGATTCTCTGCTTCTAGCATCACATCTCTCACTTGAACTCTCTTGCCTCCCTCTTAGAAGGACCCTTCTAATTACATCTGGCCTGCCTAGATAATGCAGATAATATTATAATTTATTATTAATTGTAGTGTCACCATCTCAAGATTCTTAGTCACATCTGCAAAGTCCCTTCTGCCACATAAAGTAATATATTCACAAGTTCCAGCAGGTAGGAACTGAACATCTTTGGGGGCTGTTATTCTGCCCATCTCAACTAATGTTTGGACAAGATGATAACTATAAAATAAGAGTTTTTATTCTTTTGCTTGGAATCTATTTTTAAACGGTGACAAGTCCAGCTGATATTTAAAGTTATATAGCCCAAACAATCATTTTCACTCAGCCTCACAATCTTCCTGTCACAGTTGCTTGGTAACTTTAAATGTCTTTTGCTTTTGCTTGTTTTAACAGAACTATTCTTTCCAATTTCTAAGCTATAACCTTCTCCTCTGCTGCCCCTATTATAAACTGAACTGTTTTCCTATATATATATATATATATTTTTTTTTTTTTTTTGAGACAGAGTTTCGCTCTTGTTGCCCAGGCTGGAGTGCAATGGCGCGATCTCGGCTCACCGCAACCTCCGCCTCCTGGGTTCAGGCAATTCTCCTGCCTCAGCCTCCTGAGTAGCTGGGATTACAGGCATGCGCCACCATGCCCAGCTGATTTTTTTGTATTTTTAGTAGAGACGAGGTTTCACCATGTTGACCAGGATGGTCTCGATCTCTTGACCTCGTGATCCACCCGCCTTGGCCTCCCAAAGTGCTGGGATTACAGGCGTGAGCCACCGCGCCCGGCCCCTCCTATATTTTTCTTTTTTACAAATTTTGGGGACAAAATTAATTAAGAATTTGACTACTTGGATGAAATAAGAGTGAGAATTTTTAAAAATAGCCATACACTGCATAATGATGTTTTGGTCAACAGTAGGATGCATATATGACAGTAGCCCCATAAGTTTATAATACCATATTTTTACTCTATCTTTTCTATGTTTCAATATATAAATACTTACCATGGTGTTATAATTGCCTATAGTATTCAGCACAGTCACATGCTGAATGGGTTCATAGCCTAGGAGCAATAGGCTATACCATCTAACCTAGGCGTGTAGTCAGCTATATACCCTTTAGGTTTGTGTAAGTACACTCTATGATGTTTGCAGAGTGACAAAATCATCTAACAATGCATCTCCCAGAATGTGTCCCCATCATTGTTAAGTGATACATCATTGGTGAAAGACCACTGCTTAATAAAATCTATCAAAGTATGTATGTTTTCCAATATGTTTTGATGTAGCCATTTTT